CTCGGTGCAGATGTTTGATACATTCGCCCATAACCAAGTGAAATTACCCCGTGGGTACCCATGGGCACCATGGGCAATGCGCATGGGTACCCACGGGCAATTCTCCCGAGGTAGTATACACGCATTCGTGCGTGCACGTTCAGGTGAAAAAAGCGTTTCAAACCATACCCGAAGCTTTCCCGCCCCGCGGCCCTCTTCAATGCGTCGTGGTTTTCCGTTTATTTCTTTGTCTCGGTGCAGATGTTTGATACATTCGCCCATAACCAAGTGAAATTACCCCCGTGGGTACCCACGGGCACCATAGGCAATGCCCATGGGTACCCATGGGTACCCATACATAACCAAGTGAAATTATCCCGTGGGTACCCATGGGTACCCATGGGTTCCCACAGACAATGCCCATGGGTACCCATGGGTATTGCCCGTGGGTACCCATGGTGCCACAGGCACCCGTGGTGATAACCGTGGGTAGCGATCCATTGGTATCGGTGGTGTAGCACCCTACGGGTGCCGACGGGTAATCATGATGATCACCACGTGACCTATTCGTCCCGACTAAGGAAAGACGAAACGTCTTGGAGCTTTGAAAACAACAAAACCCACCGTAGCGTTTAAATCTGCAACAAGTAAGTATGATGAAGAGACCTGCCCAAGGCCTCGGCGTGCGCGTGCACTGTACGAAACACGGGAGATGCGACAAACGCCCTCAGCGTCGCGCCCTGGATCTGGGTGAGGGCACACTGGCGCGCTTTCCTCCACGCCCACACCAAGCCAGTTCGGTTGTGACTGTTGCGAACATACCCGAGAGGAGGGTCACACCACGCGCGCTTGGCAGCACAGATTCAGCTGGCACATCCGGGCTCTCACAACGGCTCCGATAGGTACCTTTTAAACGAGGTTCACCACAGCGTCAACCAGGACACTTTCGTTTGAGGTGGGAACGGATCTATATGTTCTCAATATTCGGATGTTGGGCGGGGCCGCGGCCAAAGGCCTTCATTGTACGAGCCACGCATTAATTTTTCGTCGACGTAGAAACTGTACGACCCTGAATTCACTGTATATTTGTACGAGTACACGTCGCCGCCGCAGAGCTTGTAGATGTTGTTTTGTCGTCTTCCTCTTTGACAACGACACGTTTCGTCCCGTGTGCATTGACGTCACAGGATCGACGTTTCTGATGGACCCGACGCGGTGGAGACAAACCCCGAGGGAGACAAACCCCGAGGGAAAGGGTAAATAGTGCCCTCGTCTTGGACGCATAGGGATCGGCCTCATGCTCATCATCAACAAAGCACCACATGTTTGGTTGTATGTTCGCGCGTTGTACGGGCCGTTGTTTTGATTTGCGCCAAGTGTCGTTCATCGAAGATTTTTTGCGTATCCTTGCGTGCTGTATACTTTGTATTAAGCAGATTAAACCGCGTTCACCGTGTGACATCTGAACTACTGTACCTCTTGTTGGGGAATTTCATTGGTGTCTGTGTTGGTGTTTGTCAATTGTTTTTTTTCTTTTTTTTTGTGGATATTGCAGAAGTGGAACGACACCTTGTCGGAAAGCTCTTGACGGGACGGCTTCTTCAACGTTGCCGTTTTCGGCGCTGCCACTCATTATGTTTTGGGGAGAAAAATCGAGCTCTGAAAAGCGGTTCAGGGGGTGCGGTATCTTGTGTCACCTCCGGTACACGTGCTGCGGATCTAGTTTGTTTTTTCCGTACTTGTGGACAGCCTCTGGAAATCAAAACACATCGTACTCCGGAGTATGCATATTCTGATACCATATTTAGTATAATACGAACACATATCGTCGGGTGAGGACTCTTCAATGGTGGTGCCTCTTTGGGCGCTCTAAATACATGCCATGGTGGCACAGGGTATAGGCAATGCACCCCTGACCAGGGTGGTCTCTCCACAAGGTCTCCAGTAGGCGACCTTGTAGAACAAGAGTCCCTGGCAGGGTCTCGACAGGGTGTGTACAGGGTGTTGGCCCCGCAGGGTACGCAAAAGGCGGAGCAAAGTGGCTACGTGTGCAACCTGTGTGACCGGTGCTTGCACAACCATGAGGTGTGGCCTCACGTTGTGGCTGCCTCCCAACCTTCCGCATCCGTCCTTGTACAACCAAGCCGTTTGGCCAAGGTTGAGGCCTCCTCCCAACCCCCCTCTACCACCTGCCCGCACCTTGTGGATGCTCACAACCCACCCACAACGTGCCCTCTGGCCACCCGTGATAGCATCGTGCTGCTGCGAAAAGCACCGTGCACGCAACGACTGCTGCTGTAGCAATGTGCAATCCATGCGCAGAAATGTTGAGCACTACTGCCAACCAGGTTTTCCCGGCCCCGGAACCTTAATGCCTTCACCCGTTTGATGACTCCACAGGGTTGTGGCGAGAGAAGACTCGACTGAGTTGAAGACAGACGCTACTCATAGCTTCTTGGCTCAGGTTGAAAGGGCAGAAAAACGACCCCGCTGGCTATGTATTTTGTCAACCTAGTGCACAGTCGAGGACCACAAAAGGTAGGCCGCGGACAGCGCCGCAGCACCTAGGTTGAACACCGGAGCCAGCTGAAGAGCACCGTCCCCGTCGCCATCGACTTCCTATCACGACAGGCAGGTTCGGAGACAAAACGCGCCAAGGAAGAGAAAGGGGGGGGGGGAAGAAAAGCCGCGAATCATATGTTTCTTGTCCGCTCGTAGCCCCGGAAATCATTGGTGCTACGCTACGAGGTAGACAAGCACTAGATCATATGCACCAGGGCCAGATCGATTGTGAGCTACCTTTCTGACTTTCGACTCCATGTCAAGGGCGACAAACGCTTCGATAAAAAAGGCTGCATACCTTTCACAATAACTAAGAGATGGCATTGCCGGTACGAGTTGAAGCACTACTGAGCGCTGGTGCATCCACAATCAGTCATAATGCGCAAAGGTGAACCTACTCATATCTGGATGCCGTAGCTCGGGGAATTGCCTCTTGGAGTACGCTTCGAGCTTAACTGCCCGGGATGGTAGACTCATATCTTCACGAGAAAAAGCGAATATTTCAGATGGATCCTACCAAAGGGGGGAGGAGTCTGAAATTGGTGTTTATTGGAGTTGAATGAAGAAGTGGGCATTTATATTATATGGCAAAGAGTATGTCTGCGTGCTTGCAGGAGAGGAGGCATGCGCGCCGAGATAAGGAAGCTGCTCGCAGGAGTTTCCGTTTGCGCCCGATCACGTTGAAGCATCAGCAGTGCTGGAGCACAGGGACTGCTAGACGTACGATTGGACAACACTGCCAGCTGCTGGTTTAGGACATTCTGTTCCGGGAGCTAGTGTTGTCGTCTTTTCCGACGGGGCGGAGGCCACTACCGCTGGACGGGAGGAGTCGCTACGTCGAGACTGGAACACATCGACTTCGCTTGGTACGTGCGACTGACTGTGATGTGGCGTGTTATCCCAGCAGCATCACAGCGAGAGCTGGCTTTCGCAGACAGCAGTTCGTGCACACAATGACAAATGTTGTTAGTGTATACGGCACACGGGGGCCGAGGCTGTAAGGATTCACGTGCCATATGTGAAGTGGCGGGCGGGTGTGGGCATGCTGTATCGATGTTGTTGACTGCTGTTGGGCGTGTTCGGGAAGAGAGTCCGAAGAAAGAAGCAACCGGTTACTGGTGCGACTGCGGCGTGCTGCGTGAGATTTGTTTCCGAGACTACACCCATCCCATCACTATGATCGCGACCTGTTCAGCATACACTTCTCTGAACTATACACCGAAGGGCAGGGCTGACCAATATTTGGCATGGTGAGAGTGGTATCGCTGTGGTCGTGCGCCAACGGGAGAACACGCTGCATGCCCTAACTTCGTCGTGAGTGAGACCTTGTCGAGGCCGGCCCGAGGGGAAGACCGCCTCCAAAACGGCGAAATCGGCGTAAGTCATTGGCAGCGCGAAAGAGCTGCCTCATACGAAACAAATGGAAGCAGCACTACCGTCTCGAAAACTCAAACTCAACGGCAGCACGAGGTCCCCCAAAGGGATGGGGTCCCATCTTACCGTGCAAAGGTCTTCGATGTCATCGCAGGTCGCCGACTCTCCGCTAACTCGGATGTAGAGGTACTCAGCCCTCTCGTCGTTGGTGCAGTACACCTGCAGGCGGACGATCCTGTTCTCCAACAGTCCCCGGAGGTTCGGCTCCCAATTGGCCTGTATCGTGGCTGCGTACAGGTCTCTCTGGGTCGGGTAGAAGACGTGCTTGAGCTCGTGGGTCTCCCCGTCAGACTTGACAAACTGCGGTGTTTCCCGCCAGATGTACAGCAGACAGGAGAACGAAAGAGCAGAGCGAAGAACGGCCGAGTAGAAAAGAGTAACGCGGAGGACGTGGGTGAAAGGCTACCAGAAGCGATCCTCTAAAAGCCGTCGTTGCTCCCACCAGGCAGGCATAGCGTAGAGCCCGGTTCTCGGGTGAGGCGGAAAGAGCAGTCTCAAATACCCGTGCGGCGCTGGATTGATAACCGCTCGGCCGCCAGCGGCCATGGAGGTCAGCCAATTATGCGAACTGGTTGGTTCGCAGCCAACAAATGCGTGGCGGGTGTTTGTGACCCACAACGTCGCGTCGTCTTGGCTATCTCGGTCCTCTCAAATGGAGCGGTGAGTAATTTATTTCACCCCGCTGCCTTTTCGCGGTGACGTCCATGGCGGCTTCGTGATCAGGTAAGTAAGCTTGGATAAACTCGCCTCGTCTACCCTCCTCTCTCGATACGATCCCCTCTCTTGACACGGTCTCCCCTTACCTCGGTCTTTGGCACCGCCGAAGCACAAACATTACTCTCAGGGCATTGGCCTACACCAACCTGTGCGAAACATATAGTCTATCACCCCCGATAATGCCACATTAATAAACCTAATAAAGGACCGAGTTGTCTTTTTCCCATTCATGGTGATGTTCATGGTGATGGTCCTTCTATCGGATGCTTCCTCACCTCGTTGTACCAGTAGCCGTCCTCTCCGGAGTACTACGCCGAATCTCCGTTGCAGTAAGTCTCCGTCGTTGCTCCGGTCTTGGTGACCACGGAGTTACTCGTCGTCAAGAGGACGTCCCCGGGCGAGTTGGGCACGGCCTCCGGAATGTCGAACGAAGGCAACGCCGGGTCGGAGAACCGGTATCCGGCCGCGGCTCCGTCGACGTCCGGGGACCAGTTGGTGAACCTGCGGCGCAACCGCGACGTGGTGACAGATGGATCCAATAGTTATTTTCGTTTATTCTCAAAGTACTCTGAAAAACGCAGGGAAATTCCCAGAAAACCCGGTGTAGCTTTGTTGAGGGGCGGTTGAAGTTTGGTTTCGCTAGGCAGAGATACCCAAAGCATCAATAGGATTTACATCGGTCATGCTTTAGTTTCGAAAGGTCAACGGGCGGTCACCGATAGATTGTGTATTCTCGTGGGAGAAAGTCCCTTCAGGTCGTGGTTGATTCGGCTTGATTCGGCGATTCTTTAGAGACACAATTCATCGATCCCTCTTCTTCCGCGATCCCTCTTCTTCCGGCACCAGGAGGCAATGGAGCGGGGGACAGGGGGAAGAGGGAGCTTAAGGGCGAGCGTGTGGGTATTGTAGTGACTGGCACAGTACGGTTTGCAGCAGCTCTTATTTCTGGAGAGAATATTGCTGCACTATTTTTGTCAAGGATGGAAGTGTTCAGTTGATCCTACTCTCTGGTTGGCCACGTCAACACCAACTCTTTTTGTTCAGGTTGCTGCCCGTTGTTGTCGAGGATGGCGGTGTGCCGAACCCCTCTTCCGATCCTCGGGTGCGAGACAAATAACACCCTATACAACGGAAAATGCACTAGTTCCCTCTCTTGTGGCTAGGCGAGGAGATGATCGGACGGCGTTTCGAGTGGGAGGCGATGAGTGCATTCGACCGCTACTCATTAGCCTGTTTTAACTCACGTCGGCTCGAAGATGACGCAAGAGTCGACGACGACGTTGTCCTCCGGGCACGTCAAGATCAGCTTTACGTAGTTGTACTGGAGCTGGTTGTAGAGGCTGGGAGCCATCCACGACTCGATCTCCGTCACCCACAGCTCGTTCACCCCGTCTACCAAGCTCATGTAGAACATGTCTAGGTCGTGGGACTCTCCGTCGATGGTCTCGAACGTCGACCGCCATTCCCCGTTCTTGGGGTCCCAGAACTGGGCAGAGCTACCCGTGCAGCCGCGCTCCTCGTTCTCTTCTAGTGCGTTCTCTGTTTTTCGGGTTGTGCGATGGGAGTAAAGGGACGCGGAATTCTGGCTATGGCCTGGCGTTTTTCTGCTATGTTGGGCGGGGACTTGGGTGCGAGACTGGTACACCTTGGAGGTGGCGTTTCTGTCCAAACAAACAACGCGCGAAAACTCAACCATCATGCATTGCCAAAGCGTTACACATTTCAACCACCCAAAATGTAATTTCCATTGTCCTGTTAGTCTAAAAACTCAAACGAAAACGGAACACTTCTATTTTGGCCAGCCCTCTCCCGCCAGACAACATCCCATGCTTGTTTGCGAAAACGGTAGGAGGAAACAGAGCAGTCGAAACGAATGCGTCTGAGATCCTTCGAATGATTGGGAGTGTGCAAAACCTGGGATGAAATGTACAGGTCGCGGGGCACATCAACCACCACGGGCACTGCTTGACCGATTCCCGCTCAACGGAAGCGGTCCGTACTGATCCAGGCCGTGACACAACAGCCGGCCCCGTTCGAACCAACCTCTACCAGCTGTGCCGCCCGTCGAAACGGACGTTGTTTGGCTGGTACAACCCGCCATTCTTCATACAAAAACCACATTGTTCTCCTACAAATAGTGTGGTCGTCAGCCTACATATAGTCTAGCCCCAACGTTTCATCCATGTAGTTTTGAGTGGCTACACCCTCGTTTTCATTCCCCTTTGGGGATCACTCCAATGGTTCACGTAGTTTCACCGCTAGAGTGTAAGTCCCAAGGTTCATGTCCCCGAAACGCTTTTCGCGTGTCATTGTCAAAGCTTGCATGTTCCAGGAAGCTCTCTGCACCTCACAGCTACAGCGATCAGGAGGGTTTTGTGTGTACGAAGCGACAAGCGTAGGCTAGCGATGCGGTGGGTTTCCGGTTGGTACCGCGACCGTGCAGTCGTTAGCCCTAGCAACGCTTTTCCCTCGTGGCCGATGTTTTCCTTAGTGAGGTGGCCCTTGCATGCCCCTCTAATCAAAGGCGACAGACCCGTCCCGAACAGAACCGGGGGAGGGGGCTGCGAGACTGAGAAAATCTAGCTCTGGTGCAATTCGGCAACGACCCATCCCCAAGGATTGAAATGGAAAGAGGGTTAGGCTCACGAGCTCACGAGCGGGCCGCCCGCATCATCGCATGCTCACCTGTGATGGACTGTTGACGGAATTCATAAGTGCTCATCGCGTTGTGACCCCCGCAAATTTCGCCGTCGTCGCTCCCGCTGCACTCCATGTCACAATTCGTCGCCTCGCCGAACATGAGGTGGTCGGCGTCGGCGTCCTCCGGACCGCACCAGCACTCTCTGGACCACTGTGTTCCGAACTGCCTGGACCCGGCGCACAGCTCTTCGCAGAGCTGCGCGGGCCGCCGCCACCCCGTCACGAGCAAGGATATTAGCGGCGCGATCGCCCCGTCAACACACGGAAGAGAAACGAATTCGTCCGAGAGAAGAGAGGTATGTTTGTCCATCAAAAATGTTTTTCCACGTGTGGTCAACTCCGCGGTGCCAGATGGTTGATCGTGTCACTCTTTGCATACATTGTAGTGTGCAGAATAGCCTTATTCTTGATGGGTCTTATCACCACTGGAAATAAACCATACACTTGGAATTGTGTCGTATGTAGAGCAGGTGAAGCATGGGATGCACCGAAGTCCGTCTCGTGAGATCTGGATGCAGCTTGCTGTTCGACTCGCTGAACACCTCACGGCAGATCGCGTTTGGTGCAGGTGCGGCGAATCCGCCATGGTCCATCCCAGCTTTCAATGTGAGACGAGGGTCTACACAGTGCGATTTGTCATTTTAACTGATAATCCTCGACGCTGCCCGCTCGCTCTCTCCGTTTCACGCGAGACTGGACACAACACAAAACACAACAAAACAACGACAGAAAGCAACAACAACTACTACCGCGACTACGACTACGACTACGACTACGACTACGGCTACGACTACGACTACGACTACGACAACGACAACGACTACGACTACGACTGTGATGACGACTACGACTACGACGACGATCACCACGAACACAAACACAAACACAAACACAAGACAAATTCTTCGATGATAAGAGCCGCTGCGGATAGCAACAGAAACGGCAATCCCCGCTTTCCCCCCTAAAGGTACCATGCAGACGACCGTACGTCGTATGCACACACCTCTGTGGTCATGTCCCACCGCCTTGCCGCCATCTCCATGAAACGTTCACGGTCTCGATTGTCCTCGAAACATCCAAGGTAGGTGTAGTCTGTGGCCGAGGGCGGGGAAGGCGCACACGGGAAGGAGCAGAGATCCCTTTGAGACAGTCAGTCCACGGGGGATGACAAATCGTGGCAATTAACAGATCAGGTCTGCAGTGGAGGAATTGTGCCATAGGCGTCACTGCGACGCAGGACGCGGTAGTTGACGTACGAGCATTGTCTAGCGCCAAAAGGAGCACGAAACGATCTGAAATGGGCGAGAGCCTAGGCGGGAGACGTTGACCAAGAAATGATTTTTACTACATGCAGCTGTTTTTTGTTTTCTTGTGTCGTCCTCATCCCTTCTCTCGCCATTGCTCGCAGGGCTGACTTCCGCTTCAGGATTGAATCGTTTCGTACCGAAGAGATCCAATCTAGACTAACAGAGAGCGGTCTTGCCACTCCTCTTCGTTTTCTTCGCGAAACGGGTCAGTTGTTCCTTCCCTCCAATACGCACATGAAACTGAACTATCTACGGCGGTATTAGCTATCCAATATTGTTTTGGTGAGAGTTGAAACTCTGATTTGGTTATGACATGGTTTACACGGGATATCGTCGACTAAATCGGCGGGGGGACCTGTTTAAGTGTGGAAATATTGTTATAATGTATTTTCTGTTGTTCGGAGGATCTATTGTAGATGTTATGGCGCACCGATGGGGAAAAAAGGGAAAAGTTGGTCATCCCGATGGACTAAGTGACTATTACTTCAGACGACAAGCTACTGCTTGGAATTCTCTCTTGTGCCTGTTGCCGTGAGTCTTTGGATATCGCCGTTCCTTGAACACGACGGCTCACCAAGCAGTTCGCAGGGCGCTGGGTTATCATCACCGCAGAACCCGTCGTCACTGTCAACATCTCCCGAGTCGCAGGTGCTGTCCTCGTCAGAGCAGCAATAGACACCATCAGCATCGACTATTCCGTCATACTCGGTGCACGGATCATCTGTTCGTGGCAGAGCGGACAGTTACGGGGCAGCGCACGTTTGACAGGCCGTTGTGTTGGGAAAGTTCGAACTTTGACAACACGACAAATCCAGTCGTCGAGGGGTGGTACTGCTGGACGTGCAAACGCGGGGTAATCGATGCTACTTATGAAATAGGCACACGAAGTACCCGCACCATCAGATCTCATGGCCCCAAACGTAGCAAGAAATCGTGTTTCAGGCGCGCGGTGTGCGGTTTTCCATTATGTTATTGGTGCGCACATTGTCTCGGCAAAATCGAACACAAACACAGTTCTCTTTCTCGTCTTCTCAAATCAAGGCATGTTTTCTGTCCCCTCCGCTGTATTGTTTGAATACGAAGTTTTGTCACAGTTGTTATAACGCTATCGCTTAGGGTAGCTCACTCATGTGTTAGCGTAACAAGCACTGGCTAGGGTTCAATTAGTTTCATCCATTTCATGGTCAGTTTCATGGTATCTTACCATTGGATTCAAGTTGGGGGCTAGGAAAAGGGATACACTCCCGGTGGGTCTAGCCCTGTGGGTCTAATCAAGGTGGGAGTAGCAAGGGGGGTCTAGGCAAGATCTATCCAGATCTACCTCTCATGCTTTGACTCACAGACTGGATGCTTCTTAGCGGGTGGGTCAAAGTTGCTCTTCCGAGATTGGCCGTGTTAACAGTGAGCATCACCCAAAACACGTGCTGAGGCGGAGCTCTAGAGGGGCTCCGCCAATGATTCAGGTACACCCTGGGGTACACCCTAGCCCTCCTCAAACCATCGTGAAACGGAATGAATCTCAGTATTTAGCGCCCGTTCATGCTACCGTGACACCCCCCCAGCATACATGTGTTGAAAAACACAAAATGCTAAGGAGGTAGCAGAACGTGCGCTTCTCCCTCCTCAGATCATACCACGCCGGGAATATAGATCAGAAAAGGGAGGATGCCGCCCTCCCCAGGTTAAACCACAAAAAATGGATTTGAACCTCGAGAGGACGGATGCCGGTGTGTTCGACGTCGATGTTACATTGCTGAAATCATCGACCCCGAATGACGGCCGTTTTAGTACTTTGGCCGCCGTATACCGGACTCCTTGACGGTGACGATCTTGAACTGAACAAGGCGATCGTCCACTGAAGAAGGTGATCTTCCACTGTTGAAGATGTTCTTCCACAAACAGTCTCCACAGACCGACGACTATGACGACGATCTTGCATCTTGACCGACGCTCACCGACTGTTCAGGACAATCTTCCGCTGTAGAAGACGATCTTGGAACTCCTCATTCGTAACACTGCCGTCACACACACACCCAGCTTCCCGCATGGAGGACGGAAGATGGCTGGCAGTGTACGACTTCACGATTCTTGAGCGGTCAGCGGTGGGAGTCTGGTTGCAAGATCCATTCCACGCCTTAGCTCCCTGCGATTGAGCTCTTCCCAATCTCCGTCGCTGAACTCCACTCTCCAGTACGGATCATAGAAGTCGCAGACCTTCCCTCTGCTGAGCACAATGTTGTTCTCTTGATCCATGAGCTCCCGGCCAACCATGGTTCCACAGGGAAATTCCGCGAGAGCGTCGGCCCGCGTTGCTACTTCGCGTTCTCCTCGCGACGGCGGTCCCGGGGGTCGTGGTGCAATATTCACCCCGTGAAAGTCTTCCCACAGGGCATGAAAAACATCAAGTTGCAGAGGCGAGAAACTGTCCCTGGCAGTGTCTTCGGTGATCCACGGAGAAGTGGTGCCATCCTGATACTTTCCTCTATACTCCCATGCCCATGCGGACGCTCTGCCTCCAGCGCCCTGGACCACCCGTCTATTCACCAAAGTATACAGAGGTGCCGCGACGACGGAGTCTTCAGCTAATCCTAAATCCGGCGACCATACAAATGACCAAACTCATGTTCGAATGGATGTCTGATGTCTTGTGGTCGAGAATGAAACGGCTTGAAGTCCGTGGCTGCCACCGTCCGCTGGCGGATTTGACGTCCATGCACTCTTACAGTAAAGCTCAACCCCTTTCCCCCTCTCGCACGACGTGCACAACTTGCCACGGTCCTGTGAAGTGGTCATGGGCAAGTTTAGGGTGGACGCCATCCCGGTAGAGTGTACTGGCGCTCTCCTTGACCAATACCTTGTCGCCCACCTTAGCCTTGGTGCCTGGTGATGCACGTTTGATCCTCGCATTCTGGAGTTCGCGGTGTCTATTCCGATTTTCCTGTCTCACTTTTAGCACTTGCATCACTTCCACAGTCTTCCTTCTCGTTTCCTCCACCGTCCTTTCCAACGGCAATGCTGGGCCCGAGTTGTCTAGTGATGGCGACATGTGATCAAACGATGTCCTTGGCGCCCGTCCAAAGAGCAGTTGGTATGCTGACTCTTTGGTTGGAAGGCTCTCATCCGGCGTCGTACGATGGGCCCAAGCGACCACTGCCACATACTCATCCCACCTGTTCGGCCATGCCTGGCAGAGCTCCGACAGCATCTCTTGCAGCACCGCTCCCATCCTCTCGACTGTTCCCTGTCCTCTAGGATGGTTGGTCGGTCCAAAGTCGAGGGATATTTTGAGCCACCGGCACAGGTGTTCCATGATCGCCGAGGTGTTTTCTGCCCCCCGGATCACAGCGCACTGATATGGGTAGTCCGAGGGTGAGGATGAGCTCCAACAATTTCTTGCTGACTCCCAAAGTTTCCTTCGTGGGAAGCGGGAAAGCGAAGAGGAACTTGGTTGCTCGATCCACTATCACCAGCAAGTACCTGTTGCCCTTGTTCGATGTCAACTTCATGTCAAGAATATCCATCTCCAAGACTTCCCAATGGACGCAAGAATCGTGCCACTAACACGTGAATTTGTTTGCTCCACTGTCTTTTTCTCATACGGCATTGACATGATAACACGTAGTCTCGTACATCTTTCTTCAGCGATGGCCAGTGGACTTGTCCGCCACAATTATGGTAGTGCGAGCTATCCCCGGATGTCCAAAGGTGCCATGTGCCAGGGCCAGTACTGCAGACACCAGCTTGCGAGGTAGGGTTACAACATGTGCCGCCCCTCTCGGCGCAAACCAAAGTAGACCTTGATCGTCCAGGATATAATCAGCTTGCTCTCCTTCGCCGTTCTCCAGATTGTCCCGGATGGGTTTCAACCTCAAGTCTTCCTGTTGGGTCCTTTTCAGTTGGGCACCGTCGCGCAAGACACGCTCCATTTGTTCCAACTGTTCGGAATGCCCTCGACAGAGGGGAATGTCGTTGTCTGGCCGTTCCAACCGTGGTTGCGATGTTTCTGGGTCGGACCTCGATGGTGTTGTAGAAGAGCTCTCTGTCGACACTGATCGTCTCTCTGGTTTTTGCACAACGGTCTCCTTCTCTGAAGAGGTCGTCGGCTTCGCTATGGTGGATGGAGTGAGTGTCGGCTGTCGAGCTCGTCGAGCCGCACTCCGAGTCTCCGCCGGGGTCACCTTAAAACGTGTGCGGTCGACGTGACGGTCGACGGTAACTCCCCTAGTCACCACCGCCACCGCCGCATCTTCCTGATACAAGCTGGCCAAGTCTATGAGCAGATATTCGTCTACTTGTTTGGTGTGATCTGTCTCTCCGTTCTTTTACCATCCATTAGACGCTTCGGCCTTCCTTTCAGTTGTAGGAGATTCAGAACTTCTCTCAGCATTGGCGCTAACGTGTGCTCTTGCATCACTCGAGCTACATCGCATCTTGTCAGAGTTGGTGGTACCTCGTAGTTGTCCCGGTTGGTGGTTAGCTTCACGTAATCTTCCCACGATAGCTCTTGCGCTTCCTGCAACGACCCTGCGTCGTTGGGGTGTGCCGTAAAAGCTGTTGATAGGGGTTTACGGCCCATGATGTGTTCCCTTGTAACCGTCACCACCGGCTCCTCAAACGAGAATATCTCCTTGTTCTGACGTCCCCGTTTCAAGAAGAAGCATCCCTGTCTTCTCAAAAAGGCACCGGCCGTGGGTGTCGACGGTGCGGTTCTCTCCACATTCCTCTTCCACTGAGA